TCCTTCCTTGGAGGGGTCCTGCTTGATTTAGAGGGGAGCTCCCTGGCTTGGCCACCCGGACGCACCAGCCCACTCGGTCCGGCTCGGAAGAAATCTCCCCCTGATGGAGTTTATTTACCTGAAGGATCTCTCCCCCCACTTTCCAAGGCCCAGGCAGCTCACTGGGGCTGGTGACACAGCAGCACAACCACGGAACACGCTGGAAAGGAAAACAAACGAATGGCAGCAACTTGAGAACCACTTGAAATGCAATTTGCAGCACTTTTGATAGAATACAGAGAGAATGTGTGTGTGTGTGTGGGGGGGGGATTTATTGAGGTCTGAAAAGGCCCTATATGAAATGGAGGAGGGTGTTGATCAAACACTACTGAGAGTCCCCTGTTCTCTGACGCCCGCCTGCCCGGTGGGTGGCGGATGTGGGTCCCTTTGCCCTCCTCTAGCCCACCATCCATTGACAAGGCTTTACACAAGATGTGTACAGGAATACACTAACCCTCACACCCAGCCTTGTCGGCAAGTGGAGACCCAGTCGTGGGTGCAAACCCTTTCCAAGAGGGGGGGGCAAGTGTTACCATGTGACCCCCCCTCTCTCTGCCCCATTCCTCCCCACCTCCACCCCATGAGAAGCACTTAAGCCCAGCCGATGGGCCGCTTGGCTTCTTCAGAGGCAGCTGTTTTCTGGGAGGCCACCTGGCTTGAGCTGGCCCATAATCTCCCTTCTTAGCCACCTCCCTCCTTCCCCATAAAGCTTCCCAGGGTGTTTTTCCCTCACATGGAGGGAGAGAAGGCTGGGATGACTTTTATTGGTCTGGGCCTCGGCCAAAGGTTTCTTGATGGCCTTCCCAGCTCTGGAAAGCAGAATCACATCCTTGTGAGCCCATGGTTCACCCTCTAGTGCACACCGCCCTGGCCTTCTCTGTGCTGTGGAGACAGGACGCTCGCGCCGGTGGCAGGCAGATGTGCCTTGTAGTCCCAGTGTGCCTTCCTTTGAGTCACACCATCTGATCATGCTGCTAGACTGCATCACCCATCATCCTTCACCAGGGGCCATGCTGCCTGGGGCTGATGGGCACTGTAGTCCAGGAGCATCCTTGCAGCAGGAGTGGGGATGTTATGGCCTATTGCCAGCACAACCAGTCCTCTCTCTCTCTCTCTCTCTCTGTGTGTGTGTGCGTGCTCGGTGGGGAGTGGCAGGTTCCCCACTCCTGTGTTACAGCTGATTGGGAATACAAGGGGGAGCCACTGAAGAGGAGGGACATGTAGTTAGTCCTCACTGGCTAGCTGCTGTGGGAGGTCTGATGCCAGCCGTGCAGTTGGCTGGAAGGTTTTCCTGCAGCTTCCACACAAGCTCATGGATGCCTCCAGACAAACAGAAGGACTGCACTCCGTGATGTATGCCATCCTTGCATAACATAAGAGCTCCGATTCTCCTCTGCCGCCACTGCTGCCAACCGGAGTGGCCAGACGTGGTGCTTGTGTTGTGTTCAGAGTTGCTGTGGCTGGTTCGCGGCTTGGCAGCCGATCCCTGGAGTGACAAAGTCTTGGTCTGTGGACTATTTTCTTTCACCGCAGCCTTTGTACTGGTTAGTTGCTGGCCTCCCTTTAAGAAAGGCCCGTGCGTTGTGGGCACATCCGCCGCCTCTTCTTTTCCTTCAAAGAGATTTTGCTGCCCCCCCCCACCGCAGCCTCCCCTTCGCAGAGGTGAATGTGCCAGGCACCCGGCCCAGCTCTTGTGAAAGGGGAGGGAGGAAGGCCAAAGGAAGGGAGTCCAGGCTTCCTCGCCTCCCTCCAAAGGAGAGGGAAGGAGGAGGCAGGCAGGCAGGCAGGGCAGCAAACAGGGAGGGCATGGCTGGAAGAGATGCCAAGTTTGCCGTTTCAGACTGTTCCCCCAACAGCTGAGCCCTTGGGATGGCCGGCTAGCTGGGTGTCCTGAGCAAGGGATGTGCCTCCTTCCGAGGCCAGGGGCCAGTTTCTCCTCTGGTCAGTCCATTAAAAATGGCAATGCCGTGGATGGGGACCTGGCTGGGCAAGGGAGCGAGGGTGCAGCTGGCATGATCTCAGTGTTGGGTTTCCAGCCCCTGACACTTCTGGGCCCAGTGTGGTCTCTGCTCCGAAACCGACCGGGCTGTCCTGCTCTCCTAGGTGGCGTGTTTGTTCCACCCGTGCTCTGAGCAGGCTCAGCTGTAGGTCGCTGATTGTGAAAGGGCACTGAGCATGCAGCAGAATGGGCTCTGAGCTTGTTCCTATGCTTCCCAGAATGTGCCCATATACCCTAGACATCTGTGGGGATCCCCCAGGATCCCCCTTGGGGCTGCATGAGCCCTAAGTCTCCCTATGTAACTTTTCTAGGCTCTGCCTTCCTCCCCCAGAAGACACCAACAGGCGGAATGTGTGGCCTTGGACAAAGCAGTTGGGTTGGAATCAACCCCTCGCCATGTCTTCCCCTGCTTAATGAATGACTCACAAGCTTTCTCTCCCTCCCCCCTCCCTCCTGTGTGTGAAATTAAACTAGTCAATTGAGACAAGGACCCCTTGTGGGAGGGGAGGGGGTGACTTCCTCTTGCCCCTGTAGTTGGGGACCCCCTTGGGGGTGAGGGACTCCCCCCTGGAATTCTTTGCCTGCCTGCCTGCCTGCTGGTTTGGGGGTGCAAAGCCAGGGGCTGCCACACTCCGGCTTCTTCCTGCTTCCTGTCTCAGGACCCCGTGACTGGGCTGCTTCCAGCCAGCGCTGACCACAAGGATGCCTGGGTGCGAGATAACGTCTACAGCGTCCTGGCGGTGTGGGGCCTGGGCTTGGCCTACCGGAAGACCGCTGACCGAGATGAGGACAAGGCAAAAGCCTATGAACTGGAGCAGGTACAGGCAGCCCGTCCAGGGCGCTATGTGTGTGCGCATGGGGGGGGGGCTGTGCAAGGCAAATAGGTTGCCCTCTGATCCTGTTCAGTAGGGTGTGCGTGTGCATGCATATACCACTGGCAGTGGGAGTGTTGTGGCGGAGAGGCGTGGGCTGCAGTTCAGTTAGCCCTGCCCCCTTCCAGCCCTTCACCTTCCCAGCTGCCCTGACCTCAGTAATGGCTCCTGCAATGCCTGTGTCCTGCCCAGGTTGCAGGATGGCCTTGCTCCATGCACGGCGAGGGTGCTCAGGTGGGCGAGGGGTTAGGGCTGTGCATGGCTAAACTGGCATGGGAAGGGTGGAAGAAAAAGTGTGTAAGCCGGCCTTTTGAGGCATCCGATTGCAAAGAAATTCCCCAGGCTGATTGGGGGACCGGAGAGAGCGCTGGGTTGTTTGGTGGCAGAATCTTTGCCGCCCTGTCCTGGTGTATCTTGGGAGTAAGGAGGGGTTTCCTTGGCCGCTCAAGGACTCAACAGCAGGATCAGGTCTCTCCTTGGTTCTGCCCCCTTGCATCAGGACTGCCCGAGGGTGACCCTGGTCATCTTATCTCCGGGCTAATTTGCAAAGATGGAACAGGTCAGGAGAAGGCGCTGAGTCACCCGCGGAACCGGATCCTTGCCTTGGGGGAGCAGCCCCAGCTTCCTTTGGCCTTTTTGAAGAAGCCATCTTCAAAGTGGCCACAAAACGGGCTTTTGTCAACTGGCTGGGGGTGGGGATGGAGGGGGGGACACAGCACTCTCCCTGCTAGCCAACTCCTCTCCTTTCTGTGTGGTCTTGCCTTTAAATCTTTGTTCATTGCCTGATCCTCATTGGTAGGTTTGATACATTGGATAATTAAGCATTAGTAAGGGTTTATTTGTACTCTTCTCCCCCGCCCCCCCCACCTACATGACGTGGAGGGGGATGTGCCTGTCCAGCAGCTGTTCTTGGCACAGTCCTTTGGCCCTTGGTGGCACCAGGAATGCCAGAGAGCCAGGGCATTTATTTCCTTTGGCCCGGTCAGCCAGGGCTTCGTGCGCTCTGGATGACTGCAGCCCAACAAGTAAATGCCAGGGAGGGCTTGAGGCCTGGGTCCGGTTACCGGCTGCAGCCCGGCTAAAGGTCAGCAGGCAGCTGCCTCTGCTGAGCACGGAGTCCTGCCGCCTTCTGGAATGCCTGCCCACGGGCCCTTCTCTCTTTCCTCCCTCCCGCAGAGTGTGGTCAAGCTGATGCGAGGCCTCCTGCAGTGCATGATCAGGCAGGTAGGATACGAGCATCACCGCCTTGCTGGGGGCTCGGCACCGGGCTGAGCCAAGTCCTTGGTCCCCCAGGGAGAGCCACGGCTCTCCCTCCGGCCCCTCTGAATGGTGGGGGGGCTGGGAGAGGGGCTGACCAGTCGTAGGGGGTTCCTCTTGGGCAAGGAGGCTGTGGAGCCCCATGCCCTTCAGCCCTCCTGCTCCTCCCCACCACCCACTCGCCCACCCCAGGGGTGATGCTCCTCACAGGGGCTGCGATGGGGATTGGATCGGCCACACAATTCCCTGGGTTCAGCCATGCCTCATTCATTCGGGCCATGCCTGTTCCTCTGCAACTGCAACCCCCATTTCCATGCCGCCCCCCCACTGCAGCATCAAATACCCCACCCGCTCTTTGTCCTTAAAAATAAGTATCCAACTGCATAAAAGAAACTGCCCCCCACCCCACTCATGGAATTCCTTGCTGATGGAGCTGACCATGTCCCCAGGGGCCGAGATCAGAGGAGCTGCCCCAAGGGTGGGGTGGGGTGGGGAGGGTGTCTTGTCCAGTGCCAGGCTCCCTCCCCAGGCTCCCTTCTTCTCTCCCAAACGGGGGTGGTCCTGGAAGGGCAGTGGGGAGGAGGCGGTGGTGCTCCCTCCCTGCTGTGGGGTCTTCCAGGTGGAGAAAGTGGAGGCCTTCAAGTACAGCCAGAGCACCATGGATTGCCTCCATGCCAAATACAACACGAGGACGTGCGCCACGGTGGTCGGAGATGACCAGTGGGGCCACCTGCAGCTGGACGCCACCTCCCTCTACTTGCTCATGCTGGCTCAGATCACGGCCTCAGGTGAGCCTCTCTGGGCCCCCGCTGGCTGGAA